AGGTTGCTCTAGGAAAACTTCCTCCATATCAGCCTCAAGTGTAGGATTCCCATGGAAAGGCTTTAGGCGATGACCATTCACTTTAAAAACCTTATTTGTGGATTCACTTTTTACCTCCACTACTCCATAGGGAGAAATGGAAGTCACAATGAAAGGTTTGATCCACCTAGATCTGAGTTTTCCAGGCATGAGCTTCAAACGGGAATTGAACAACAAAACTTTTTGACCTATGAAAAACTCTTTCCTTGCTATTTTTCCATGATGAAAGGCCTTTGTTTTCTCTTTATAAATTCTGGAGTTTTCATATGATTCAAGGCGAAGTTCTTCTAATTCTTGCAAGTGCAATTTCCTTTGTTCTCCAGCTTTATCTATGTCCATATTGCAGGCTCACACTGCCCAATAAGCACGATGTTCTACTTCTACTGGGAGGTGACAGGCTTTTTCATAGACAATTCTGTAAGGTGACATTCCCAACGGAGCCTTGTATGCTGTTCTATGAGCCCAAAGAGCATCATCAAGACGCTTGCTCCAGTCTTTCCTATTTGGCTGAACAATCCTTTCCAAGATTTTCTTAATTTCTCTGTTGGAGAGCTCAGCCTGCCCATTGGTTTGGGGTTGATAAGGTGTAGATACTTTGTGCACTACTCCATACTTTCTTAGTAGAGTCTCAATGGTTCTATTGCAAAAGTGGGTACCTTGGTCACTAATCAAAGCTTGAGGTACTCCAAACCTACAAAACAAATGAGTACGCACAAAATTTGCAACCACTCTTGAATCATTAGTTCTTGTGGGCTTAGCCTCTACCCACTTAGAGACATAGTCCACAACAAGCAAAATATATAAGAAACCAAAGGAAGGGGGAAAAGGACCCATAAAGTCTTACCCCAAACGTTGAATACATCATAGTATAAAATGGATTGTTGAGGCATTTCATGCTTCAAGGTGATTACCCCTCTAGTTCTTTGGCATTTCTCACGTGTAGAACACACTTGCCAAGAGTCCTTGAAGATTGTAGGCCAATAAAATCCTGCATCCAGTACTTTCCTTGCAGTCCTTTGGGGCCTAAGGTGGCCTCCTACAATGGATGCATGACAGAAATGCAAAACTGATGCAGTTTCTTCCTCAGGAATGCACCTCCTAATCACTTGATCACTACAGAACTTCCACAAATAGGGGTCATCCCAGAGGTAATGCTTGGCATCATTCTTGATCTTTTCCCTTTTACTCCTTGGTGCATCTGCTAGAAAAACTCCTGCAACTAAAAAGTTCACAATATCAGCAAACCAAGGCAACTTTGAAGTACACAACTCTAATAGTTGCTCATCAGGGAAATCATCTTTTAGAGGACTGAGTTCAGGGACTCCCTCTATCCTGCTCAAATGATCTGCCACCAAATTTTGTGCTCCACTTCTATCCTTTATCTCTATATCAAATTCTTGAAGTAGAAGCATCCACCTTATTAGCCTTAGCTTCGAATCTGTCTTTTTCAAAACGAACTTAAGAGCATAATGATCAGTAAACACCACAACTTTTGACCCTAGCAAGTATGATCTAAATTTATCCAAAGCAAATACTATGGCCAATAGTTCCTTTTTAGTTGTGGTATAGTTACACTGTGCATGATCCAAAGTCCTAGATGCATAATAAATGACATGTGGATCCTTACCAAACCGTTGTGCTAAGACAGCACCCACAGTAAAATTGGATGCGTCACACATGAGCTCAAATGGAAGTGTCCAGTTTGGTGGTTGAATGATGGGGGTTGTGGTCAAGGCTGTCTTAAGACAATCAAACGCCTCCTTGTACTTGGCTCCAAACTCAAAATCAATATCTTTCTGCAGTAACTTGGAGAGAGGAAGGGCTATCTTGAAAAAATCCTTGATAAAGCGCCTGTAGAAACCTGCATGGCCAAGAAATGCACGCATCTCTCGCACACAAGAGGGGTAAGAAAGCTGTGAAATGACATGCAGGATCTACCTCAATTCCCTTCTCATATATTATATGTCCTAAGACTACCCCCTACCTAACCATAAAATGGCATTTCTCAAAATTCAGAACAAGGTTAGTCTCTATACATCTTTGTAAAACTCTATCCAAGTTTCCTAAACATGCAGAAAATGACGACCCATATACAGTGAAGTCATCCATGAAGACTTCAATACAATGCTAAACCAAGTCAGAAAATATGCTCAACATGCATCTTTGAAATGTACCGGGAGCATTGCAAAGCCCGAATGGCATTCTTCTATATGCAAATGTACCGAATGGGCATGTAGAAGTGGTCTTCTCCTGATCCTCAGGAACTATGCATATTTGAAAATAACCAAAGAATCCATCTAGGAAGCAGTAGTGAAACTTACCTACCAGGTGCTCCAGCATCTGATCTATGAAAGATAGAGGAAAGTGGTCTTTCCTGGTCGCCTGGTTGAGCCTCCTATAATCAATGCAGACTCTTCAGCTGTTCTGCACTCTAGTGGACAAGAGCTCATCCTTCTCAGTCTTCACCACTGTAATCCCTGACTTTTTGGGCACTACCTGCACTGGGCTCACTCATGTGCTACCTGATATCAGGTAGATGATGCCTGCCTGGAGTAGCTTGGTGATCTCCTTCTTCACCACCTCCAATATGATCGGATTTACCCTCCTCTGGGGCTGTCTTACTGGCTTGGATCCTTCTTCCAACAAAATCTAGTGCATGCACAGGGAAGGGCTGATTCCAGGGATGTCAGCCAAGGTTCATCCAATAGCCTTTTTATGCTTTCGAATCACATCGAGCAACTACTCCTCCTGGTCCTCGTCAAGCTCAATGGATATGATCACAGGGAGCTTCTCACCTACTTCCAAATAAGTGTATTTTAAATGCTCAGGCAAGGGTTTAAGCTCCAAGGTGGGAGATTGCTCAACTGAAGGCAGTGGTTTAGCACTTTCATTTGAAATGATCTTTGCAACATTTAAACCACAAGGGGTAGATTCAATTATACTTGCTGTACTCAATGAACCACATTCTAACCCTTTTGATTTTTCAATGTCATTAATGTCAGAAGTTGCAGAATCTAAATCCAGAAAATCAGCAATACAAATATCACACAAAGATGAATTAGTACAATATTCACAAATTTTAGTATCTATGGTATCTACACAATCAGAAAAATCAATGAAAGAGTCTCCTAAAAATTCAACAAAACTATCATCTATCAAGCTATCAAGAACATCAACATGGAAAACTGAATGCTCCTCAGGTGAGTGCTTCATAGCATCTAGTATGTTGAAGTGAACCACACTCTCTCCAAACTCCATAGTGAGAGTTCTAGCATGCACATCAATTTTGGTCCTGGCCGTCTTCAAGAATGGCCTCCCCAAGATGATTGGTGCAGTTCCTTTTATTGGCTCTTCTTCTTGCATGTCCAAGATGTAAAACTCAGCAGGAAAGATCAAGTCATTCACTTTCACTAGAACATCCTCCACAAGGCTGGCTGGATTAGTAGTGCTCCTATTTGCTAGCTGGATGATGAAACCTGTGGGCTGCAATGGTCCAAGAGACAAAGATGTGAAGATAGATAAAGGCATAACATTAATAGATGCACCTAAATCAATCATGGCATTATCTATCCTATTATTGCCTATAATACAGGGAATAGTAAACGTCCCTGGATTTTTGCATTTCTCAGGCATGAAAGTTTTTTGCCTCTCAAAGAGTACTGATACATTCCTCCCCATGTTCACTCTTTCATTACCCTTTAGCCGTCTTCTATGAGTGCACAAGTCTTTAAGGAATTTGGCGTACTTTGGGATTTGCTTGATAGCATCTAACAAGGGAATATTGACTTCAACCTTTCTAAAAGTATCCAGAATTTCTTTATCAACCTCTTCTTGCTTCTTGCTCAGCTAAACCATTCTTTGAGGGATAGGAATAGGAATGGACCTCTCTTCTTTGTCTACCACTTTTGGTTAACATAGTGTGGGCATAGGTGCAGGTTGCTCTTGGCTCTCAATCTCTTCTTCTTCATCTTCTGCAGCTAAAATGCAACTAGGATCCTTCTCCTTAGGCATTTCTGGCTCTTGCATCACCTTACCAGATCTCAAGGTAATGGTACTCACATTCTTTGCGTTTGTTACCGTTTGTGCAGGGAGATTGCCTGAACCTTGAGATTGAAGTTGATTCAGGGATGAAGCAAGTTGACCCATTTGATTCTCCAAGGTTTGCTTGAGTCTGTTGTTGGAAAGTCTGACTCTGTTGCTGGAAATTGAAATTATTCATAGTGAGTTCCTTCACAAGGTCTTCCAAGGATGACTCACTCTTTTGAGGTGCAGGAGCTAGTGAAGAAGATGCTTGATGGTGCGGCTGAGATGAAGATAATGGATGGTGATGTTGCTGGGCTGAATATGGCTTACTTTGTCCAGCTTGATGCGGTTGGAAATGGTTGTTGGTTGGTTGGCTAGAGCCTTGATTCTGTGCATTTCCTCCCCACCTTAAGTTAGGATGGTTCCTCCAACCGGGATTATATCTATTAGAAGATAAATCCCAGCTTTGTTGTTGCTGCGGCTGCTGAAAAGGAAATTTATTAGCATAAATATTAGCAGCATAAGCTTGAGGATTACCTTCCAAAGATTCAGTTTCTTGCAATGTGGGGCAACTATCAGTGAAGTGATCCGTAGATGAACAAATCCCACAAAGCATGGCTGGAATGGATAGAGGTGGAGGTGTATATGCAGCAGAATTCTTTTGGATGGATGCCAACTGTTTTACCATAGAAGCCAACTCATCTAGCTTATGCTCCAACTTGTTTGAATCTGAAGTTTGAATTTCATTAACACCCCTAGACATGATGGAATTTTGCCTTGTAGCAAACTGTTGAGAATTAGCTGCCATATTCTCAATGAGGTTTCTAGCGGCAGCGGGAGTCTTGTCAACTAGGGCTCCCCCACTATCTGCGTTGATCATGCTCTTATCCATTGGGTGTAAGCCCTCATAGAAGTATTGGATTAGGAGCTGGTCACTTATCTGATGATGGGGGCAGCTAGCACAAAGTTTCTTGAAACGCTCCCAATATTCGTACAAACTTTCCCTCTCCAGCTGCCTAATACCACATATTTCCTTTCTTATGGAGGCAGCCCTTGAGGCAGGGAAAAATTTTTCCAGGAACAATCTCTTGAGAGTGTCCCAACTTGTAATAGAGCCAGGTGGAAGATAATAAAGTCAATCTTTAGGCAAATCCATAAAAGAAAATGGAAAAGCCTTCAATTTCACATGCTCTTCAGGCACACCTTGTGGTCTCATTGTAGAGCAAACAATATGAAATTCCTTGAGGTGTTTATGTGGATCTTCACCTGCAAGACCATGAAATTTAGGCAAAAGATGGATTAGGCCAGTTTTAAGAACAAAAGGGGCATCCACATCCGGGTATTGGATACACAAAGTCTGGTAAGTCATGTCCGGTGCGGCAAGCTCCTTAAGTGTCAGGTCATTTTCTGCCATTTCTAAAGGATCAGAATTTAAAGAATGCAGAGAAGAATATATGGAAGATGGAGAAGATGGTTCCTCAGTATGTGCAGAGTTTTGTCTACTAAGGTTCCTAAGATTCCTATGGAATGTCCTATCAATTTCAGTATCTGGAGGATATAAATCTCTTGGATTTGATATGGTCATTCATTAGGAATTAGCTATGGAAAATTGAAAAGAAGTAAACTAATGTAGCAGTAAAAATGCAGAAAAATTCATATGACAATTATGCAGAAAAACTAACATCTAAGTGCAGTAAAATAAAGTATTAACACCAAGCAACAAAAACAGAAAGAAATTGCAAACTATGGAACGAAAATGAGCAACACACAAACACAAATTCTGTAGAATTATGCAGCAAAAACAGAGTATAGTGCAGCAAACGAAAATGCAGTGTGGTAAACTAAAATGCAAAAATCAGAATTCACAAAGTGCAGAAAACAACAATTGGTTCTACCTAAATGCAAGATATCTCTACTTACCTATGAAACTACAACTATACTAAAGTATTCACAATGCAAAAGTTAAAACAGAATTCACTGAACATGCTGAAAACGAAAATGAAAACAGAGCAAATAACATGTTTATGAAAAAATCAACACCAATGTTCCTCGGCAATGGCACCAATTTGGTGATGATCGATTTTGTTGAGTTGTTTAAAAGATTTTGTCGCAAATCCTCATCAAAATTTAAACAAATTAATGTAGTACTAGGGTTACCCTAGATTGTCTCCCATGAACATTGGCTATTAATCTTCATTAAACATGCTGAAGGCAATAATTGAACAAGCAATTAAAATGGGGGGTTTTGTGGTTTCAAATCAATGTAAAGAGCAACGAGTAAACAAGTTTAATTAATTCAAACAATAGAAAATAGCAATCCTTAGTTCATCCATAAAGATTCTATCCTCATTCCACTTAAGATCTAACATTCATCCTCTCTCCCATGAATTAGGTTAATTTAACAAGCGAAAATCAACCTTATGGTCCTAACGAAATTATGCAATTTGCTAGACTCTAATCCCTCATCCCAAAGTTACGCAACCTTAGAATTAAACTTAGGATTAAGCAATCCCTAGTTTAGAATCTCCTTAAAACGAATTAGGGTTAATTAAGCAATATCCCCCTCATTCACCATTAATTCAATTCAAGAGACAAGGAAGAAGTAATTCTTGAGAAGAAAGGAATTATATTATCATTAAAATGAAGGAACTCAAGAATCCATGTGAACTCACCAAGGATTACACAAAATTTAGCCCTCCATAGAAATGGGGGTCAAAAATGAAAGGTGAAAATGCAGAAAACTCATTAACATTATTGTAAAAGCAAGAGAAATGAGAAACCAAACCTTAGGTTTGACCCTTGGCTGTCACCCAAGGTTACCCTAAGCTCTGGAAAATTGTTCTAATTAAGTAAGGAAGAGAAAAGGTACAAAAAGTGTCAGAACTCTCTACCCTAATTTGGCAAAAATCTATTTATACTAAAGCTGGCGCCACCCAAAGTAATTACTTTCATTCTTTCATAGTAAACACGCCCAGCATTAGTTAGGTTTTTCCTCTCTGGAGTGATTACTATGAATATTCATAGTAACTACGCGCAGCACTGGAATTTTTGGACTCTCTAGAGTTGTCACTATGAATTTTGATAGTAACTACATGCATCACCTTCAATTCTGCATGCTCTGGAGTGATTACTATGAAAGATCATAGTAACCACACGCAGGTTTAGTGGATTCTGGGCTGCTGTAGTTGTCACTTTAAGCTTTGAAAGTGATCACTTTGGTCCCTTTGCTGGAAGTGGCTTGTTGTAGTTGTCATATCAATTTTGAAAGTAGTTACTTTCACCTCAAATTCCTCAAAATCCAATAATTCTTCAAAATAAGCTTGGAGATTCCTGCCACATTATTCAAATGATCAAAACATGTAAAATAAACTATCTAAATCAATGTAAATTAACCAAAAACTAAGAAACCTATATTATTTAGCCTAATTGGAATATTCATCTTATTTACACTATTTAAGTCTATTCTTTTCTATAAAAAATAATAAATGATGTATAAAAATTTAGTAAAATGTGGGTTCATCAATATACATATATATATATATATATATATATATATTAATGGTATTTCACATTTTCTTTTTAATCTATCTATTTCTATTTTTTCCATTTAAATTTTTATGAGTTGATTAAAGTATTACTAAATGTTTCAAAATTTTTGCATGTAGTATTTAACTTGCAATAAGTTTCATCTAAATATTCCCTTCAAAACTCTAAAATTATTTTCTTATTATATTAAATAAAATAAGGATGTTATAAAAGGAAAAGAAATTATCTTTGTTACCATAACCTCTTCTTTCACTACCTTATATATTTTTTTTTAGAAAAAGATATCCTTAAATTACATAAATAAGATATGTTTCACTTACAATTCTTTTAAAAAAAAAAGAACATAATATGCACTTAAATTAAGAGTAAATACAGATCCATCAAGGATAAGCACACTTTATTCACATTACTCCTAGTCCTTTCACAATTTTCTAGAAAAAAAATTCCTCCAGAACAAGTTAGTTTTTTGAAAAAACACACATAAATAAAAAAAATATGGTCTGAGTTCTAAGTCTGTTAATCATTCTTCATTAAATGCACACAATTATAGAAAATTTCTTATCCCAACAGCCATGGCCCTCCATTCACCCAGAGAATCACATAAAAATAACCAAAATATCATTATGAAAATATAAGAACACTATCAACAACATCACAAAAAACACCATTCACCTACAGAAAAACATAAGAACTATGAGTGAGAATTGAAAACTCAGCTTACAAAGAGAAGTTACGATGTTTATAGATCTAAAAATCAGGAGATTAAGCGAGATCTAAAACTCACCTTACGTTGCCATGGAATGCATTATATTTTGCAAAATGAGAAAAAAATGAGAGTGTCAAGCAAGTAGAAAGGAGAATGAATTATTGAAAAAGAAAATGGAGTTTTGAGCATATGGTTATTATAGACAATACTAGTAAGGTAGTAGTTTTATAAAAGTACAGTAATTATAAAACCTTTCTACTTACTAGTTATTCCAAAATGGAATGAGTCCATCTCGTAATGAGTGAAGGATGTTCTAAGATAAAATTCAGAAGCCAAGAGTTCTGACTATCGAATCAAAGAAGCATGAACTCTACTGTATCCACGTTATTGCCCGATCATAACTCTACAATTCATGTAACACCCATATTTTGTTTATACAATTCATGAAATAATTTATATTGAAAAGAGAAAACAAGGAAAATGTACTTATATTTATAATACAAAATTAAAGAAATTTTAAACTTTCATTTTTGTTACTCGTGCTTGAAAATATACAAATGTTAAAGTAACAAGAAATAAATAAATTTAGACTAAGATTGAAATAAAATACACGTATACCAGCTTTTCTTAATGTACAAGAGTTTAGGAATTACAAGTCATGATTCAAAATTTACATTACAACTTATATACTAAATTCACAAGATAAAAAAAAAATTAAGTCCTAATGAGCAATTATCTTTAAACCTAAATACTGAGGACCTAGTCTTAGTCATTATCCCTATGTTAATCCTCTATCTCAGCCAGTTCTTTTGGAGTTAGGTCTTCATCCTCTCCAAGGTCTTTAGAATCAGCCACAACCTTGGTTCCTTTTACATGGTCGAAGGTAAATTGGGTTGGACTTCTAAGAAGGTAGTGATCGAGAAAAGTGTACAGGTAATTTGCTATGTCTAGCGTTCGGACCATTCCTCAATATACATACAAGTTGAGCATATGAAAAATTATACCACGAACAGGGTAATCTAAAGGAACACTATACTTTATATTTATTTCTAAAGTACATATGTTACTTAGTTTGTTATCAGTATCTACAGCAAATTTAAAATAACATACATGTTGATATTCATTAAGTAACAATCGTCTATTAATTTAATTTGTCTTTGGGGCCGTCATTCTTACTCTCAAAAATATTTAGTAAGGATGAGTTTTTTTCCCTCATTACTAAACATGATTAATAATAATGTCAAGTCACACATAATGAATAACACACAAAACATTCAGAAATGGCCAATACATTTCACATCAGTTTCATATATACTTAATAGTCATTAATATCATAATTTCATTCTATTATCACTCATTACATTCATGAATTCTTTATCTCAATCATTCACTGCCCCTGGGATCCCTTAAGGTTTTCCTTAGTATAGATAGTTAATGGTTAGTCGTAGCAACACTGATATAACGTGTGACGACCCGACCCCTTTTAGCAAAAGCATGGTCAGGAGTTTAAGTCAGAAAACAAGTGTGAGACTTGTGGTGCTTTTACTCTTATTAGTTATGTGCCAGTAAAGAAAAACATCCACCACCTTTATTTCCCCAAGATTTCCAAAATTGCCTCTATCTTCCATATTCTCAGTGTATCTCTGAACTATCCATATTTATCCTTATCACTTTTCATTTCTCATCATATCATAAATTTGTCGCTTTGATGATAACATATTTTTCATCATTTTCTCTTTCTATTTTATTCAAGTCCACTTTTTATATCATATATCAGTCAATCATGCTGAAGG